TATTCCCCAGATGGCTGAATATTATATTTTAAAGATGTTTTTAAAAATATGTTGTCTGTAGATAATTTTATTCTTAGATACCCTACACATTTTTACAATCCTTTCCTAGATAATACGTGGCACAGGCTGGGGATGGGGGCATTTTTGCTTTCATTTGTGATTTACCCTTAATTTTTTGCCTGGAAAGGAACATCTGTTAAGCAGGTAGCAGGAAAATGTCAGAGGCATCCTGTCACACTTAAGGGGTTCAGATTTTTTTAGCACTTTGAATTAGCAGATTCTGTGCCAAAAATATGCTGGAAATGGTTTTTTTTTCTTTTTAAACATTCCAAACACTCTGTTGGTTTCATCATACTGGTTTCATTTTCTCTTCGTATCTGCATTTATTTTGTGCTTCTGCTTTGTGTCCATTGCTAAGGAAAAATAGGAAAAGGAAGGAAGAGGAAAAATGTCTGTAACATTGCAACTATTAGCCTTTCTAAGAAAAATAACTACCGTAGTATTCATAGGGCTGGTATATCAATCCCAGAGGGGCTGGAAACAGAAAAGCGGTGGGGTGAGAGGAGATATGCATCTCTGGCTTGCCTCCTACACTCTTCTTAAAGGAGAAACATCTGGTTGGTGTCCTCTTCTTGCCTATAAAAATGAAAGATTACTTGAAAAGTTCGGCAGTTCAGCAATTGAGGGTCCTTCTCTACATCCCCCGATTTTATTAGCCCCCTTATAGAATGAATCTGGGATGTTTTTTTTTAAAAAAAACCATAGAACAACCCAGTTTGGAAGCTGTGCTGAATAAAGAACTCAGGTTGCTTCCTAGACATGCCCAAATCGATCCCAGCCACTTGGAGCAGCTTCAGGGAGATAGCGTCGTTTTTTGGGGCGGGTGGGTGGTTCTGGATTATAGAAAGAAATATTCCTGTGGTACTCAGCAGGGTCAAATCCAAGCAAGTAACATCAAGGGAAATGATTCCAAAAAATGGTAGCCAAGGCCAAGGGTCTAGGTATTGAGAAAGGAAACTTCAGACAGAATTGGTTTCACATCATAGAGAGCTTAAAACAAGAAATTTAGCCAAGAATATGTTCCATTCTCAGGAAGTTTCATTTTGGGAATTAATTAGCTACTGTGCTGCTTTCTAAAACTGTGATATATTTGACTAACGCGGTGTGACAAGTGGAAACAGCCACTATGATTCATAAACCATAGATTATGACCTAACAGGATGCGAGTACTAGGTCAAACTGTTTCACTGGTGCTTTGGGTTTAGCTCGTTGCATAAACCCAATTATTAAGGTTTGTGAACAATGTTTTATTCCTCAACATAATCTGTGAACTCAGTTTATTGCATTTAATTCCACAAATTAAAGCAAGCCATAGGTTAATACTTCATGTAAACTCAAGGTGTGAGTCATGAGACATTAATGTGTCTCAGTCAGAAGTAGAATAATCATGTAAGAGTCCATATGGCAACCAAATCTCACATAGCTGTGAGACTAAAAACCAGAAAGTTTTTTCATCAATGAAATTGTAGAAAAGTTGGGGGGCAAAGAACCAGATGTAAACTGCAATAGCTGTTGGAGAAGACTACAAGTCTCATGTTAATAGAGGACAATCAGATCCATAAAGTGTTTTCATTCATACAATAAACATACAATAACATATAATAAAGATTCTTATCCGGCAATGCCTTAATGTAGTGTCTGCTGAATTTAAGTTGAGGAGCCTGTATCTACATCAACTTATTACATATTGCCTTGCCAAAATCACAGAGAACCAAGGAGCTAAAGAGAGACGTTCTTGCTAATGTCAAACTTTAGGATAGTCTAGAGTCTAGACAATAATATGACTGAACACCTTGGGCAAAAGTGGGCATAGCTCTTTGCCTCTACCAGTTTGGCTTTGAAAAGGACATTGAAATTCTTCTCTTGGCTTTGGTGGAACTAAACACTCAAAGGCAGAGTAAGATTTCAGCAGAATTTTCAGTCTACTAGACAACATATGACATGTTGGGTCATTGTTTCATATATTTCCTTACCTAAACAGAGAAACCGAATGACCATGGGCAGGCAAAAAAAAGCAGTAAGAATGGGAGCAACGTTCAACTCCCCAATGGCTTCCGCAGTGACTTTCCTAATAGGAAAGTGGCAGGGAGCATTGGAATGATGATCATGTAACCACAACAGTACATCAGCACTGAAGCAGTCACAGCTTTGCCCAGTTTCAATTCCCCAGGAGTGGTTAGATGACCATTTCACCCAGTAGAAGGTTACAAACAATCAGTCAGTTTTAGTAGTACATTATACAGTTTCCATATCACAGAGAGAAGGAAGGCATATCAAAAGCCCCTTTGACAATATTGTGTTCACTGGAAATTAAAAAGAAAATAAAGAAAAATTGTGGTTGTTTGTACTTCAAATGACCTGGAGATAAACACAGACTTTCTATTTTCACAAGTCTCATTCCATTAACTTCTTTTAAACCTATTATTATATTACAGAGACCAAAAAGGTCTTGCTAACACATTTTAATATTTGAAAATGGAAAAAACATACTTGTGGGGGGGAAGTACTTTAAAAGGACATTTCTGTCCGTTTATGAAAACATTTTAGAGTGTAGCTATGATTAGCTCTGTGTAAAATAAATACAAAGATGAACTGGCTTCCAGCAAATATTCTTACATCATTATTTTAAATCAGTTTAAAAGATGAAACGATTGAAAGAAGAAATGTGTTGAAAGGAAAGTTGAGTTCACACTAACCAGAACCAGAAAGCTGGTTTTTTGAAATAAATAAAAGTAATGATAAATATATAAATAAATGAGGGGAAATGCACTTTTTAGTAGGTATTTCAGAGTTGGCCACTGATCATACAACATCTGTGTTTACGAAAAACCATTTACAGAGCGCAGGAGTTTGCAGAAAATATAAAGAAAGAACTAAACCAAAGACCTAATAATATATCCAGAAACATGTGCCTCCCATTGGTCAGTTTGGTGCCCTAGGAGGCTCACAAGCAGCACATGAGAGGCACAGTCCTTGAAGTAAGATATACTTGTCAAAACTAATGGTTGTCAGGTCAGAGATCATCCTTACAAGCTAAATGTATTGTTCAACTATGCGCTGTGTGAAAAAAAAAATCTTGCTTTTATGTATCCGAAAATTTTCATTATTAAATTTCATTGGGGACTCTGTAAGAAGGAGGGGAAATAGCTATCTTCCCGCTGTCTCACAGCAACCTTTGATTTCTATTATTTATTGCTTATTAGAGATTATCACTCAACTGACAAGATCTCTTGGCAATTTATGCACATCTGCCATTTGTTTTCCTGTTGGCAACTTTCCTTTGCAGGAATTTAGTTACTAGGTTTTACAATTCCCAGTATGGTGGCTAAACTCTTGGTACTTTTTATCTGATGGTACTAGAATTGTGTATTGAGAGAAGTTCATTAGCAGTTTTGCTTTTTGACTCAACTGTGCAGTTTAAGTATTAGAAAAAGCACATAGAGATCCATACACATACAACACACAAATATGTAATGCTATTTAGTATTTTATGGCTGCCTTGTTTTTCCAAGGCCTCCCTATCTTAGCAAGGCACATAGAGCCTAAATAGTTATAAACACTGAAGCATAAAGAAGGGGAAAAGTTAGGAACCAGTTAGTTTTTTTCCTTTTCTTTTCCTTTTTGGTTTTTCTTAAATTACAACATGCACAAGCAACATTAAGTAACAATGCACAGTTGATATTAGTATTAAAATGTAGCTTAAGACAGAAATGTTTATTATACAATAAATCATTTGAGCATTTTGCAGTTATCAAAACTAGATGTATATTTTAATCAACCTTAAGCTGCAGACCAATTTGGCCTAGAGGAAAAGGCACCAGGCTAGAAAATGGGAGGCTATGAGTTCAAGTCTTCCCTTAGCCATGAAAGCCAGTTGGGTGACTTTGGGTGAATCTCTCTCAACCCATCTGGGGCGTATAGAGGAGAAAGTAGGGACAATAGAAGAGAAAGTAGTATTAGGTAAGTTCACTGCCTTGAATTATTTTTTAAAAATAATAAAGTTGGGATACAAACAAATATTAACAATAACATCTTAGAAATCATATTTAACGTTAACATAACCACTTTTTTCTTTCTCATTAAAGACTTAAACTATCTAAATCGTGCGAATGTTAATAACCTTTAAACAATACCATATACATTCCATTCTATTCAAATAATATAATGCACTACTTGTGTTTAAAATAATACAATAAAAAATAAAAATTATTTTGGAACTAAAATGAATGAATAACCGATAGATTTTTTTAAAAAATCCTTATTTTGACATGTTGAATTTATATTTAATTTTCTCAATCATTGTGCAAAATTGCACAATAGGATCTACAGTCTGAGAAAGGCTGCTAATCCTGGTATCACATAGTTATTTTCCTCTTTTTTCTGTGATACTTACGTACTCACGAGTTTTTACAACTCTCTTGCAGCAGACGGTTATTTTCATAGATTTATATAAGGGATCCTTCCATCTCTTCCCCATTCACCTCCACATCATCTCAGTAACATAATCGCTGAATATCATCATAGCAAATACTTTACTTTAGCCATAGAAAATAATTTTAAAGTTTGATTATGTTTCTTCGTTTATTTTATTTTATTTTTTTAACATTCATGAAAATTCTTTGTGCAAATTCTTGAAGAACAGGAGTAGATTTCAAGATGCTTAATGCTGATGCATTAAGACCATAAGGGTTTGTTTTACAAGAGACTTTGTTTAATTTAAACAGATTTTTCTCGAAAACAGGGCCATTGACTGGGCATATAAAGCATGCTTGTTTCACATTTAGTTTTTCTTCAGGGTTCATTGGATTTGAGTGTTTTTATTTTAAGTGACCAAAGTATGGCTTGCAATTTTCCCATGAAAATGGTTTTCTCTGCTTGGTTGAGCTTCCTTTGCTTGTTGACCATGTGTGTTTTTTTGCTTCCCTGCCTCCCGAATCCAGTGGATGACACTGTTGTTGTTATTCCCTACGGAAGTCGTCATGTTCGCCTAGTACTGAAAGGCCCTGATCATTTATGTAAGTATAAATACGCTTGCTATATTGAAATACTTCTAATAACCTTTGGAACTCTATTTCAAACAAGGCTCTATGGCTCTTTTATTTTAGGGAGATTGAAACAAGAACAAGGGGCTTCACAGGGAGCCCATATCTGGGTTGCAAGAGTTCAGATGACTATGAGATGCCTTCTTTTTGCTTAATTTTTTTTTTAGTTTTACTGTAATTTCTTCAGTTGATTGTTGTGAGATGCACAGTGGTGTTGGATCAGGCAGCATACAAATAATAATAATAATAATAATAATAATAATAATAATAATAATAATAATAATAAT